ATTCTTCTTATGAATAAAAACTCCTTTAGAACAATAAAAATTACATTTATTGGGATTGAATATAAGCCATGAAGCATCTTGAAAATTCTCCAAACCCCTCCATAATCTCTTAATAACACCTCTAGAAGCAAGACAATTCTTTATCATTGTGCAACATTCTAGGATACCTCTCAAAATTTTTATTAAAATGTCGAGAAAGTAAATCAAAAGTCAAAATGAAAAGAAAAGAAGAAAGAGGATCTTCTTGCTTAAGACTTCTTATAGAATTGAAAAAATCATATTTATTACCAATTATAAGCACAGAGTAAAAATTATCACACAAGATCCTCTTAATAATACAAGAAATCATCTTAAAGTCTTTAGCATAAAGCACTTTCATAATGAACTCCCATCTAACAATATCATAAACATTTTTAATGTACATTTTAAAAATAACATTACCTCCCCTCCCTTTTTTGTCAATATCAAGATATAATTTTTTAGCAATAAAAGCATTATCACTAATAAACCTACATTTAATGAAAACAGATTGATTCTCAGAAACTGGAATACTATCAAGAGCAATGTTAGCGGCATACATACAATTTTCAGCAAAGAGAGACACGTCAATAGAAGCAAGCTCACAATCATCGAATACTATCAAGAGCAATGTTAGTGGCATACATACAATTTTCAGCAAAGAGAGACACATCAATAGAAGCAAGCTCACAATCAACGCTATTAAGAAGAATAGAAAAATACTTAACCTCATAAGTTTCAATAGCATCAAAGAAACAAAGTACAATACCTTGGTCATTCTTAATGTTATTGATGTTGTTAAGCAATCTACGTTTCATGATAAACACATGAAAAAGACAGTTTTACGTTCTCATTCACAAAGAATTAACTCATAGCCTTTTGTTTAAAATAGTTCTCTTTCATGTTAATGACCGCAACAAGTTTCTCTTGAGCAGCCAAGAAAAGGCTTTGATCAATAAGATCATCATGATAAGTTTTTTCAAGAGTCTCTAAATTATCTTCGACAGATAAAATCATAGAATGAATATTTCCAAAACAATCCATATTCCAGCTGCGGAGTTTATTAGTCAGATGCTTATGCAAAAGCCATAACATTTCGTCAGGGTTAGCAAGGACCTCACAAGTCCAATTATCTTTAACAAATTATAAAAAAGTATCATACAAAGTCCACATATTTAAAAATCTAAATTGATAAACCTGAAGTCTTTTATTCAGATTAACAGTAATCAAGATACGAGCATAATAAGAACAAATGATAGACAGATGAGTTACAGAAAAAACAGGATAAGTCATCATCCAATGCTCATTACCAAGAAACTTATCCAGCCTTTCAAAAACCTTACCCCTAGATCAAAGTGACCATATAGCCAAGATCAAAGAGTCCAGCATCCAATAAAGCATCATTAAAATCATTAATAAGCCTTTAATTCAGATATTTACCTCCTTTCTTCTCAGTAATATAGAGGATGGCATTATAGTCACCCCCCCAAAGATCAAGTCTATCAAGTCTAGTGCAACACGCATAAACAATAATAGCAAAGAAAGACAGATTATGAAAATAAATATTTAAATGAAGAAATTGATTATGATTAATAAGAAAATCAACTTTAACAGAATCAAGCTAAGAAAACCAAATCTCATTATTAAGATTAGCAGAAGCATGAAATGTTTCATATACTTCTCATTATTATGAGAATTCATCATAGGTTCAAGAATACTAAAGAAAAATAACTTGTGAAATTTAATAATATTAAAAAAGACAATTAAAGGCATTGACATTAGCAATGCCTCTAATATTCCACACTAAGAACTTAAGCATTAAAAATTAATTTCCTCCCTCTAGTCGTCATAGCATGGACTTCAAAATAATTTTTCTTGTCTTTCCATATACCACAACTTTCAACAGTAGTAACCTCAGGATTGACATACCTCAATTCACGGATCCATATACCCCAAACAACGACTTTGATAATAAGGCAACCAAGATACCATTCTCTCTAAATCTATGACCATGGGAGTTCTTCTGGATGACATTTGTTTTGTCAATGTTTCCGACATACAAGTTCAGTATTAATTGTATAGAGACAACAAAGATCCTCTTATTTCTAGCCCCGGCCTTCTTATAATGACAGATTATACATTTATTTTTACTGACTCTGAGATCTCGCTTTCATTTTTAACTTTATCTATGTATTATTATTGTTCTTGATACTTTTTTTGTTATTGTAAATACGTCGTTGCAACATTAATAAAAATCTATTTTTGTTTAATAAACTCTGGTTTGGTAGGAAATATTAGTTCAAGAAATAAAATAGCTTTAGAAAGCAAGTTTTCCAATATAATTTACCGTTTTGATTTCAAAACTAATATTGCAAGAAAATAACTAATTGATATTATAATTTTAATTTTTTTTTGCTAAGTGTTTTGTGATGTATAATTTTTTATGTAATATATTGAACTCGTGAGTTTTTCAAACTTTTTGAATTTCATGCGTTGTTATGACTGTGTTAATTCTGAAAATGTTAACTTACATATACAATATGTATGGAAGAGCAATCGGTTTTTTTTTTTTCAAAAACAGTTGTAGTACAGTTGTTACATAGTTGAACGAACAAGATTCTGAAAATGTTAACTTACATATACAATATGTATAGAAGAGCAATCAGTTTTTTTTTTTCAAAAACAGTTGTAGCACAGTTGTTACATAGTTGAACGAACAAGCAAACACAGTTTCACACACAGCAATTTCCCTGCAACAGCTTCTTCTGCAACTGTTATGTAGTCGTTGCATTGTTGCTTCATCAAAAAACTATAGCTACCCTAAACAAATGCTTAATAGACTCCAAACTATTAACTTTTACATATGTCTTAGGATTACTATCAAATATAACCTAAAACACGTGACTGATATTAAAACATCGGTATAGCTGTTCGTGATCTAAATTACAGAATTGTCTGAGGTGAAAAAGTGTCTACTCGCTTCTGACTGACACTCTCCCGTCAGCCCAGTTGTTGTGATTGAAATTTCATAATTGTCTGGGGTGGTAGGTATCTACTCACCCTTGACCAATACTCTTCCATCGGCACAACGGTTAGTGTTCTAAATTTCACAATTTTCTGAGATGATAGAAAAACATTTACATGCGCGGGAACATTAGCATCTCTTACAAGCATCATAAGAGAGTAAACTTATCTTAGCATGCACATACAAGCATTCATGTAAACAAGATTGTCATTTCATTCTTTAAAACATGCATTATTTTCTTATTAGACATCTTATATTTATCTATCAATGAATAAATGAACTTTTACTAGAATCTAAAGATCATGTAATAATCTAATATATGCACTTCTACTGGAGTCTACAGGTCATGTAATAATATGACATCTAAAAAAACTATTGTATTACTATTTATGCAAAATAGTCAACATGCATGCTTCATATAAAACAATATGAAAACTTAGCTATAGTTTAAATATTATTGTATAAATCATAAATGAGAAAAAATTTAAAAGCAAGAATATGCATTCATACGTGAGAAAAATTACTACAATTTAAAAACATAATTACTCATCATAATCTTATTTTTTATCTTTGTTCTGCTTGAAATCTTCCTTTGATTTTACAGTACTTCAAATCTACCAATTCTTCATTTAAAATTTAACTTTAAAGCTACAATCTTTAAATTGAAATATACATATTTATTAAATTAGATAAATAAAGCTTAAACTCACCTAATAAAAGTTATTTGACTGATCGATTATATTCTCTCATTGTCTTTAATTGATTGCTTGTCAACTTAATCCCTGTTATTAATTCATAAGAATTAACATAAACTAACAAAATCAAATTAAACATTACCGTTTGCTTTATACGCTTGGCTCAGCCTCTCTCCTACACTAAGCCCTCGGTTTCCCCAGCACGCAGCAGCCACTCAACTTCAGCCGCTCCTTTCGCACAAGAAGCCCTCGACACTTTCTCCTACATGCAATGAAACCCTTTGTGCATGCTTGGTTTGCTCAATCATCCCTTCCCGCATGAAAAAGTCACGTGTGCTCCTTTCCGGCTCGAAGTCGCGGCTCCCTCACCTCCTCCTTTATATAGGAGGAGCATGTGTCTCCTAAACACGAAGCCGCTCGGTGCCTCCGCCCAAGCTCGCAAAGTCTTCCTTGCCTTAGATGGACGCAAGCAAACCCATGCTACGAGGCCTCCTGCTGCTCCTCCTTCACTCTGGTCTCTTTCTCGTTCTCTCTCACTCTTGTTTGAATCAACTCAAATGAGATGTTCGCCTCCTAAATAGAAACCACTGACAGCTATGCTAGAACCGACATATCAGATACAAAAAAATTTTAAAAAAAATTTATTTATACTGATTATTACACTAATATAGGCATTGGCCATGGTCAACAGTACATAAAAGAAAAGCACAAGATTTGTCTCAATGTAGTTTGTGTAGTAAGTCAGGATGTAAGATGTTTGCTAGACAAGAACTGTGGGTGAGTGCTTTATGAGTACTCCTGGCAGGAACCTCAAGAAAGCCTGAAGGGAACCAACATTAAACAGGCGAGTACCCTGGACGAATAGGAGAATTCTTCAGAATGAAGTGTGACTTACCAAGCTAATCACTTCTAAAGTCCATTAGGTGAGTTGAATGTTGGATCGACCTAAACATAGCTGATATAGGTGCATACATACAGTTTAGTGTTGCATTTATTATTTCATGACAACGGCATACAAAAGTGCCAATGCAACTAAAGGCGTCGAGGACGCAAAACTTCTTACAAATTCCATAATTACTTTTCTATAAGTTTGGGAGTGAATATACATAGAATTTCATTGAATAATAACTGAAATAAGTTAACTTTGATAAAAAAGCACATTAGAAATTGGAACTGAGTTCATATTTATAAAATAGTATAAAGCTTGTCAATTCACATACATAAAATTTAAGTTACTTTCCATAAAAGAACTATCAAGATACCTGGTTCTATCAACTGCAGATGCACCAGCTTGGCCAGCAAGTTGACGTTTCCATGCATACGCTACAACAGCACCATCCGGACAAACAAGGGGCATATGTAAACCCCATGAGTTACCTCGTAATTTAACAGATCCATTCAAAACTCCAGAGTCTTCCAATTGTTTTCCTAGCAATAAAAATAAAAAAGTTTTATAAAATAGAAAAATCACTAGCACCACAATAACAGATATGTTGGTTTCTTTTAACATGACAACAATCTCTCCACAACTAATTCCACTCATTCTTTTTTAAATGTGGGCATGGGCATGTGTGGGCTAGCTTAAGATGACAAGGAAACAACGAAATTTTTAAGAAAAAGAATTTACTTCTCAACTCTTCACAAACCAGCTTTTTGAATCATGGCATACTGAGCTTAAAACTTTGATCCTTTTAAGGTAAGGTTGACACTGTATAAATCACGTCATAATAATGTACGGCCATCTAAAATTCTTTATTGTTATATGCATGCATATTTTTCACTAACGTGTTATTATTGACAAGTTTTGAAAGCATCTATATTTGTTTAGACAGATTTCTAACTCAAAAGTAGAAAGTATCCTACAATCTTAGAAAATGTATATAGTGCGAGGGTCACTATTTTCTATCCACTAGTACCATGATATAATTGTTTCCGAAAATGATTATTTTTTCAATCTATATCCAACAAAATTCACTCCTAGAGAGGTTTACCAAAAAAATCTTCATGGCATGCTGCACAATAGTAAGCCTCTAATTTTGGTATGCTGATTTTATTATTCATATTGATTTTCATTGTTGTCAAAAACTACCTGCGTTTCTTAAAAGTGGGACTTTAGAAAAAAATGTCCAAGGGTCATGATAGTGTGGAAATTGAACGAACTCTTGTTATCGTAGTCTCCTCAAATTCTCCCCATGACATATCTTCATATCATCGCATTAGCCTTATCCTAAATATTTGTGTTAGCTATATAAATCCTTGATTTCATTTGTCCTCATTAAGCGTTGCATGAGGTGTTAAATCTATCTTTATGAATCTTCTTGAATGGATTTTATCCATGATACCTTAGATCAACCTATTTTTACTCATAATCATTTGACACTAATTTCATCTACCATTTCATCTTTTATTGTACATATCCACACCATCAACTTATATTTCAACTAACTACTTTAAAGAGAACACCACGTAGTGGGATAAAGGCTCGTTGTTGTTGTGTTGTTGTAACTACTTTAAAGATACCGTATTTCAATCATCCCTACATTATAATCATTTCATAGTTTATCATTTCCATTTTGTCACATGTTCTATCTTAGCATTCCCACTTCGGCCACATCGAACTTAGCAAGCAATCACACTTTTACCACCCAGCACTTAGATCAATATAACATAGCTAGCCAAACTGCAATTTTATAAAATTTCTCTTTAATTCTTGATGATATTTTCATATCACTTAATACTTTTCAGGCACTTTTATTTTATCCATCAAATTTAAAATACAAAAGGAAAATAGAAACTTGGAGTGCTATCCAATGGAGGAAGTAGGAAAATCAAAAACTAGCATTGCGAGGTGGAGAGCCAAATGTAGACCACCATATAGATGATTCCAGATGACCCCCCTGCTCTCTTGGTTAGTCAAAGGGATTTAAGGAATAATCTAGTTTATTGTGCTATTGCTAGACACAAGAAAAGAACCCTCAAAAGTGAAATTAGGTAGCAACAGCAATGATTAATCCCCACAATGAGTGCAATCACTAGCTCTTCAGAAATCTATCTCATCTGAAGATTTTTTCCCATTTTTTAGTTGCACTGAGCATCTAAGGTGTACAGAAAGCAAAAAATTTTATTGAATATACATAGAAAACATCTAAGATTTAACAAGGACAACAAATAATATAGAATAGCCTTAGCTAACGAGCTAAAACAAATTCTTAACAAGTCAGCATGATAAAGCAAGATTGATTCTCTAGCCTCATCCAATAGTGAACCATCCTCATCACATCGGAGCAATAAATGGGAAAAAATTCAGACAAATTATAATTTAAATTTGAACAATAAAGTAACAATATTTAGTATATTACAAGAGTAGAAGTACAAATGCATCTTTTTATTTTCCTTTTCTGTCATAAATAGCCCCATGCTATCTTCACATAGCAGGTGAGATTTAAAAACCATGAAATTCTAGGGCCACTGACTATCTGCAACTCCTCATTCATCATAACTTTGCTGCCAAGAACTGGTCTCACAATTCCGGACAAGCAATTTCTAACTTTGCTGGGGTTAACCAGGAAAAAAAATTATACATTGACACTAAAGATACCAATATGTACACAGGGACAACATTAAAGGATGTCTACTTTGTTGCGAAGCAAGATGAAGTAAAACTCCAGGCCAAAAGTTTCAGGAAATGAATAACTTGTTGCCTCTCTGTTATACATGATGCAAGATATGTAATGAGTTGCATATACCAGCGAAAACATAACTCCATAACCTCGACAGGAAAGCTCCATAAGAGCACGAGTTCAATCAAAGGCATAGAACCGATTAAAGACCTAAAAGCAAAACCCTTGACAAACCCAACCAACATGAGCATAAATCAACAACCACTGGAACATGCTTACAATCTCACTCTATGTTTATCCTTCACTTTCCATCACTTATCACAAAATAATGTCGAAACAAACGTAATCAAAACTACTTGAAGAGAGAGATGGTCAGGCAAAGAGAGAAGAAATTACCTAGGGAGCGAAGATCCTGGAAGTGCTTACGCATTGCAGACTCTTCTTTGAGGATAAAGTGGATGGTCTTATTGGATTGGTGAGGAGACTCCGCTGTGAGGAATAGCGCTTCGAGGAGGCGGTCCGCGCCGATTCTGATGTCCGCAATGAGGCGGGCAGCGCGCGACAGCCTTTCCATCGCTGTAGCCACCTGCTTCGGAGGAGCCTCCGTGGATATGCCTACGGGATCTTGCGTAGCGGCGGCGGCACCGCCACCGCCACCGATCCCGCCGCTGGTAGCATCATTTCAGTCGGGCCAACCGAGCAGGGACCGAGTAATCTACGAAGGCACAGCAAACGAAAACGGTTCAGGGTTGCAGGGTGCAGAACTCTCCGGGCTCAAAAAAGACATTTGAAAAAAAATTAGACTGGGACACTTATATTTAATTAATTATTAATATAAAATAAATATTTTTTTATTATTTTTAGTAAAATTATCACAAAATAAACTATAGGGAATAAAATTTAATTTATATTATAAAATCTTATACTATTAAAAATTAATTGTTAAAATTAGATATAATATTTCAAATAGTTCATCCAACTTATAATCTAATTGATATACTAAAATTTAAAAAAAATTATGATTTCAAAGAGATAATTATTAGTGTTTTACTTCGATGAATACTGAATGCATCTTCAATGTTTGATTTTGATGAATGTTAGAAAGAATTACAACATGGCGAGAGATGGGACAAGTTTGATTATGAGGTATAATTAAGGCTATACGTATATTTATAATTTGTTTCTTTTTTTCTCGAAATAGTGTTAAACACGCGTCTAATGCAGTACTGATGTGTCCTGGTCCGCCCTTAAAAAAAAATTCAAACATATTTAATAGTGTCAAAAAAGTACCGATGTTTGATATGTATTCGACACAGATACAGCCTCTTTTTAGAAATATTTGTGCTACATAGCATACTATTTAATTCATGTCTATTTACATGCTTAACCCCCAACTCACCTTTTATGACCTGTACATGAAAAGGTGCACTTCATCTTTTAAAATTTTAAATGGTGATAGGTTTTATGTGATTAAAAGAAGTTAGGTGTTATAAAAATTAAATTTAAAACTAAAGTATTAGATATATTTTAAATAATTTTATAAATTACATATTGATAATTAATTTCAATGTTATGTTACATTGATTATGATTAAAAAATATCTAAAAAATTTAACAAATCTTTAATTAGTGTTATTTATAAATATTATTGATTGTGTTGATTAATATTTAATAAATTACTAAATTAAAATTATTTAAATTATGATGTCTTGAATAAAGGAGAGATATTTTTTTTAATCTTCCATTGCTTTTAATAACTAATTTAGTTTGTTAAAAAAATAAAAATTGTTGAACAATAATTTACTAATTATGATTTAATATGTAAAATTAATAATCTATTTATTGAATAACAATGCAAATTAATTATTTACTAAGTGATATATTTTAATTTCAACACTAATATTTATTATTAAAATCTTTTCAATCAATTTATTTAACTAAAAGAATCAACATCCAAACCAAACAACTTTTTATCATGAAAATTATTTTTTAAAATTTGACTGATTAAAACTTTATAAAATTTTAATTTAAGATGTAATTAGGGGAAAGATCAACAGACCTGTTTTTGAAATATAGAAATTTTAAAATTTTAGATGTTTAATTTAAGAAAAACGGGAATAAAGTATAAAATCTATAAGAATTTTTTTCTTAGTAAGTTACTCGCCACCTTGTTTATATCTATTTATTTATCTAATCCATCTCCAACAAATATTTATCATTAGGCACAAATCTCAAAATATGACATAAATCTCGAGATAACCTTTTGAGAAAAAAATATTCCAACATCAATAAAAATTCATCCAAAACTTCGATTTCAGAAAACTTACAGTCAACCCAATGTTATCAAATTTAGTCAAATCCAGTCAAATCAAGCTCAGATCAAGTCATTAAACTAGACTTACTCCGTTATAATGAAATGTAGTACTAAGTTCTCGAACAATTTCTAAGTGTAAATTTGGATACTTGGACGGGGTTCCCCCCAATTAGTTGTTTTACATCATTTGAATAATAGTAGGTTTTAATTCAAATGTGTTAGCTTCTACGGTAGGAGTATGAATACTTAAGTGAATTTCATCTGTCTTAGGATCAGCGTAATCACTTAATAGTTTATGCACGTCATGATGTTCATTAATTGAGATTTGGTTATCTAAATTATTTTGTTGAATATTCATCATTTCATCTACAAGTTTGTGAAATCTTTTTTGTTTTCTAATTTTCCTAATAGTCATCTCTAGTTCTAAATTGTAAGATACAAGTACTGCAGGTTATGCACTATGCATCACTAACTAAAGACTCAATTAGTAAATTTAACAATAAAACACACTAAATAAACACAAAAATAATAATAATATTTTTTTTCTTTCTTTTTCAAACCAACAAACGCTTACACAATTAAACTACAATATGATATTCCAAATCTAAGTCTAATTGATTCAACTAAAATTCTCCTAAGTTAAATGCACTGTCGCTTCTCCGACAATGGCGCCAAAAACTTGAGACTCTTCCCAGTTCAGGTGCACTTACACACTGTGGTTTCACGCAAGTATATGTGTCGTATAAGTGATATTGTATTTATGAGTCCACAATATCTATCCCACAGGGAGCGAATCAGTTAAAGTCTTAAGTGAAGTTCTAGCTTACTGAAATGAGTCTTAGTCTGGAAGTAAAGTTGGTTTTTTAAGTGTTGTTAATTAATTCTAAAGAATGACAACCTACAATTTAAAATTTACTCCTATAGAAATCCTATTAAATATATTTAAACTAGTGAAAATCAGGATACAAAAAACTACCCTTTCTTGCAATAATATATGTAGTGTATAACAAAACCAATACTTGAAATTGTGATTATGGTTGATGACAAATATAAGCAATTTTCTATTTTACTCTCTCCCAAGTGTATAAAGAAGCTTAGTTAAACTGGTTTTAATTCCTTAAACCCCAATTTCAACCCATCAAAGACTATTTTCCTATCTATTTGCATCTCCCTATAGTTTAGTTTGCTTCATAACCTACAATTAAATGTGAATATTCTTATTGTTATTCCAAAGTTCTTCTGAGTTATCATGGATCACAATATGTGTTAAATAATCATTTGGTCATAATGAAAAGTAAATGAAGCATAGAAGAATACTCATCTTATTACAGCTGAAAAGTCAATTTCAAAACATTCTACCATTCCTATACAACTAACGTAATCCTTGTAAGATAAAGGTGAAAAGAATACTCACTAAGCATATATAACACACTGCAAAACATCATTAACATAAAGTAAATTCATTAGGTAATTGTGTTTTACAAAAGTACAATATAAGAAAAACACAATACTTAGCTTCTTCCACTTTACAATGCTCTGAGAATGCTCTCCTATGCTTTTCCAAACCCTTACTATAGTGCCGATGTAATCTCCTTACAATAAAATCTCTAAATTCTCACCAAATTCTCTAAGTAAGAGCCCTAATTCTCTTCTATAGAAATCCTCTAATGATCCTTTTTTCCTCTTCTCGAGATACTTTTCTCCATTCCCTTTTAGAATTTCCCATAGCCTCTAAATAACTCACCGCATCATGGGGAGAACTCCTGAAAAAACTATCCAACAGTTGTTGGAGTCAAGCCCTCTATATGCTCAGGTAGAGACTGGCGCCTTGGCACGCAAGTATGTGTGGCGCCAAGGCGCTTGAGTGCAACACCTTGCGCCCAAAGGCTGGCACCTAGGCTCCAGTCACTTGGTGCTCTCTTAGATCTATGTCACCTCCACTTTGTTATGTTTCTTCCCCCACTTCGTTCCACTTCTAATTAATATTGTACCTGCAAGAAAAACACAAAAATATCTTCTTTCAAAGTTCAATTTCATCCATAAAAAAGGTTCACAAAGTAAAATAATTTAAGATGCTTTTGTACATATCAATAGTGTTTGTCATTTATAATTCTACTCAAAACATTATTATAGTATAAACCACAATAGAATTAGAGCATCATTATATTATCTTTGCCCTGTGTATTGAGGCAAGATTTAAAGAAGAAAGTTGGTTAAAGCACTTGCATTCTATGAAGTCTCTGACAAAGTTGATCATTTTTTCGTATGAAAATGTTTTCACATTTAAGAGAGGATAGAGCCCTTTCAGGCTGCCCCTGGTCTTTATGAGGCCCGCGACATAGATTTCTACCATTTTTTATCACCTTGACAATCTCTTGCAGGATTTAGCTATCATGCAGGGGAAGATGCATCACTTATACGAGCACTTGAACCACTATGCTATCCAACACAAATACTAATTTGATTATTTGCACTAGTACTTTACTATTGAACAAAAGTTGTACCAGTGGGAGCAGAGAAATATCAGCCCTAATCCTATGCAATTTCTAGTGGTTCGACCATTTGAGCTTTGTGATAAGTTTGTCTAGCCTGTAGAGGAGGGCGAGGAGGAGAATGATATTGGAGAGGATGCATGAATATAATAATTTCTATATTGTTATTTTTTTTTACTATAATCCTACTTGTGTTGATTTATGGATTTTTATGAACAAATGTAGTGGTTTGGGCTCTTATATCTGTTTTTATGATTTAATATGCACTTTGTAGAAAATTTTGTTGTGTTTGAAATTTTGATGTCTTTTTAAAATTTGTTTTTGGTTTACTCATGTGCTAACCTATTAAACTTAGTGCTTAGAACTACTTTATTTTTATATTTTCATGTGATATGGTAGTTATCACTTATATTTAGTCAACTTGTTTTAGTAATTCTATGATGTAAAATTTATATGATTAATTTTAGTATTTATATTGTCACTTAATATAATTGTTATATAATTCTAGTCATGCAAATTCCCTCTTACACATGATATTCCTTGTTCAATTATTGAAATTCCTCATTTGGAATGCACCGGGGGGGGGGGGGGGGGGGGGGTTGGTGTTGTAGTTAAGAAATATAGATCTTTAGTTTCCTATAAATTCATTTACATACATTTACCTTATACTCTACCTTGCAGTAGTGAATCATAATAGGATACCCTATAATTTAATAATATTTATATAATAAATTAAAAATTAATGCAAATATTCATTTTAAAAATTAGATTTAAAGTTAATTTAATAATTAATTCTACTCCTTTTTACAATTACTCTTTCA